CTACTGTGCCCACTTTGGCAGCATATACACTAAAATTAGAATGATGCAGAGAAGAGTAGCAGGGCCCCTGCACAAGGATGACATGTAAATTCATGAAGCATCCCATACTTGCAGATGTTAGTGTGGATGTGAAGAGAAGGGAACACTTTGACACTGTTGGTAGGACTGCAAACTAATACAGCCTCTTTGGAAGGAAGTATAGAGATTCCTCAAAGAACTCAAATTAGACCTCCCTTTTGATCCCACAATCTCATCACTGGGCATCTACCCAGAAGAAAAAAATCATTTTATCATAAGGACATTTGCACTAGATTGTTTATTGAAGCTCAATTCACAATTGCCAAGACATGGAAGCAACCCAAGTGCCCATCAACCCAGGAATGGATTAACAAGCTGTGGTATATGTATACCACGGAGTAATATTCAGCCACAAAAGACAGTGACTTCACATCTTTTTTATTAACCTGGATGGAACTGAAACACATTCTTCTTAGTAAAGTATCACAATAATGGAGAAGCATGAATCCAATGTACTCAATACTAATATGAAGATAGTAGACAATCTAATACACACCTACATAAGAGAAAAACTCAATTCAATTCAAGGTGGAGGGAGGGGGGGGACAAGGAATAGGGAAGAGGGAAGGAGGGGAGGGGGACGAGTGTGCTCCCACTTAATGGGCACAATGTTAGGGTGTATGGCATACCTCTGGGGGTGGGACACAATTATAACAGGGACTTTACCTAACAAATGCAAACATTGTAACCTAATTATTTCTACCCTGAAATTAACCTGAAAAAAAAAATAAATATAGAAAAACTAGCCTGGTGTAATGGCAGGTGCCTGTAGTTCCAGCTACTCTGGAGGATGAGGCAGGAGGATGGCTTAAACCCAGAGAATTTGAAGTTGCTGTGAGCTATGATGCCATGGCACTCTACCCAGGTGACAGAGTGAGACTCTTTTTTAAAAAGGCAACAATTTGGAACATGGAATATGCCCTATTCTGGCGATGCAGAAATTTGTGGACGATTGTGGACAAATTGTCCAGTTGTGGACAATGAGGACAGCGGTGAGCTTCCTTCCTGGTGGAAACAGCCTCCTTGTCATTTATAACGTGGCAATGGCTAGGGTATCAGGTCACCAGATCCTATTTGGTAATAACTGTGAACTGCATTAATCAGCAAACCTTTCTCTTTCAGGAAACATCTTTGTGGTGAGCCTGGCAGTGGCAGACCTCCTGGTGGCCGTGTATCCATACCCATTGGTGCTGATGTCCATCTTTAACAATGGGTGGCACCTGGGGTCTCTGCACTGCCAAGTTAGCGGCTTTCTGATGGGCCTGAGTGTCATCGGCTCTGTATTCAACATCACCGGCATCGCCATTAACCGCTACTGCTACATCTGCCACAGTCTCAGGTATGACAGTCTGTGCAGCACCAAGCGGTCTCTGTGCTGCGCGCTGCTCATATGGCTGCTGACCTTGGTGGCCGTCATGCCCAACCTGAGGACCGGGACGCTCCAGTATGACCCCAGGATCTATTCCTGCACGTTTGCGCAGTCTGTCAGCTCTGCATACACCATCGCAGTGGTGGTTTTCCACTTCATCATCCCCATGGTCATTGTCACCTTCTGTTACCTGAGAATATGGGTCCTGGTTCTTCAGGTCCGGCGGAGGGTGAAGCCAGACAACAAACCCAGGCTGAGACCACAGGACTTCAGGAACTTCGTCACCATGTTTGTGGTATTTGTCCTTTTTGCCATCTGCTGGGCTCCTCTAAACTTCATTGGTCTAGTTGTGGCCTCTGACCCAGCCACCATGGTCCCCAGGATCCCAGAGTGGCTGTTTGTGGCTAGTTACTACATGGCATATTTCAACAGCTGCCTCAATGCCATTATATACGGACTGCTGAACCAAAATTTCAGAAGGGAGTATAGGAGAATTATAGTCTCACTGTGCACAGCCAGAATGTTCTTTGTGGATAGCTCCAACGACATAGCAGACAGGATTAAATGCAAACCGTCTCCATTAATAGTCAACAATAATCTAATAAAGGTGGACTCTGTTTAAGAAAGTAAAACAAGGCTGGGCGTGGTGGCTCATGCCTGTAATCCCAGCATGCTGGGAGGCCAAGGTGGGAGGATCACTTGAGCTCAAGTGTTCAAGACCAGCTTGAGCAAGAGTGAGACCCCCAACTCTACTAAAAATAGAGAAATCAGCAGGCCAGACTCAAGAGGCTGAGGCAGGAGGATCACTTGAGCCCAGGAGTTTGAAGTTGCTATGAGCTATGATGGAACCAGGGCACTCTAACCAGGGGGACAGAGTAAGACTCTGTCTCAAAAAAAAAAGAAAGAAAGAAAGAAAGAAAGAAAGAAGCATTCCTGGTAAGACAAACGTCCGTATGTGCCTTCCTGTTGATGGATGTCTGTGAAACAGAGAGATAGAAGAAATGTTAGGCTCTTAATTGTTGCTTTTGCAGCATCTGAGCTTATGTCCTAAGCTTGGTGACAAGTCTCTAATTCTGCTTAAGAGAAACACAGAACTGAGAGTTCTATGTTCATTGAAGAACACGGTTTAGAGACAGGTGAGAACGTAAAATGGCAAATGCAATCAAGTGAAGAGAGTGAAACGTTTCTTTTACTGTGACTGCCACAAAAAGAGTCTTTGCTTTCCCTTCCACGACTTGATGATTTCTAGGAAAATGAACAGAGCGTTTTATTCATCAATGAGTAAACAGAACAAAATGTATTTATACAGGAGTAAACAGAACACAAAGGGGAAGTAGAATTCGTGACTTTTATTACAGAGGGAGAGGCTGAAAAGAAATCAGTGAATGATTTGACAGCAGCAGCGACCACCGCAAACTTTCAGAGTTCAGTGTTCACCCTCGCTGGTGGTAGTCCCATTTGTAAATACTTTCCACTCTGTATTCCAAGTTGCACATTCAACCACCCAAACCAGTTCTATTACAGAGCTCACCTTCAGAGGTCAATTACCATCGCATTTTAAAGTAGTAGCTATGTTTACAATTCTGTTAGACTTTATTAGACATTTGACTTCTTATTCTTTTGTCACTGACCGGCTGGCTGTTTTAAATTATTCTCTGTTAATTGATTCATTAAATGGTCTAATCAGTTAAGTATAAATGACAAAGGATCAAGCTGGAGCAGCCTTCAGATATGGTGCTGAGTGTCTTTAGACTGATACTCTAGTTGGGCAGGTAAATAATCCAAACCAGATGGCTTTCCTTTCATACATAGCCCAAAACAACAGTCTTCAATAGTTCATTTCAGTATCTGACTCTACCCCCAAGAATACTGAAAGTCCGGGAGAATAAAGAAAATACACAGTGAAACTGTGGTTTCATAAACTTTGGCTTAGTTTAACCCAGATGGCTTCTTGTGACTACTGTGAGGTTCATACCTGAGAGTGCTTTGCAAATTACAGCCATGTCATCTTGTATTGTAAAGGTCAGTCACAAAACTGTCACATTCTAGATTAAGTTGGTGAGTCCAGGCACATTCTAGAATAAGTTGGTGTGGCTCATGCCTATAATCCCAGCACTCTCGGTGGCTGAGGTGGGAATATCTCTTGAACTCAAGAGTTCCAAGACCAGCGTGAGAAAGAGGGAGACCCCGTTTGTACTCAAAATAGAAAAACTAGCCAGGCATAGTGTTAGGTGCCTGTAGTCCCCGGTCCTCAGGTGGCTGAGGCAGAAGGATGGCTTGAGCCTAGGAATTTGAGGTTGCCGTGAGCTATGATAAGACCATGGCACTCTACCAGGGTGACAGGGTGGGACTCTGTTTCAAAAAAAGAAAAAGAATAAGTTGGTGATTTGCAACTGTGTACATAAGACAAAAAGTTATCTGGATATATTTGCTAATATCTATGTAGCTAAGAGAATCAGAATCTGTTTGACAAGGTCTAGGATTAATTATTTTAAAAGGCTCCTCTGATGATTCTTTTCATCAGACATATTTAGGAAACAGCAGATTACGGTTGTCGTTGGTGGGGTGTGTGTGCGTTTGTGTGTGTGTGTGTGTGTGTGTGTGTGAGATCTGCAAAACTTTACCTGAATTTACCTGTGCAGAAGTTCTAGCTCTTATTAAAATCAAGGGTAAATAGTAGAAATAACTGAGCTAATGTTCCAAATTTCGGGTAACTGAACCTTAAAAAAATCAATCATGTTCAACTGACCACTTAAAAAAAATTGTATCACACTTTTTACTTGATGCTTGGGGGTGAATTGTTTTGCTAACTATATATTCACGTGGTATGATTCTTTTGAAATTTATGGAATTTTATTTTTGGATTTATATACTGTATTATATTTGAATTGTACATCATTAAAAATACTGAGTAGAAACTGCCCTTTTAACAATTGCCAACTAAAGAGAAGCTCTATAATCTTAAAATGATTTCCACCACCCTCAGAATACTAGCCAATTAAAATATTGCCAAATTGCTGCTCAGAAAGATCAAAGTGCAAGACCCAGCTCTGCTAGAGCGCCAATGGTGTTTGGAATTCACAGTCACATTGTGATTATTTGAGGTATTCTTTCTAGCTTCCTCACTGGGATAAGTAGAGAGTCCTCAGTTCTGTGTGTTTTTTTTCTCCTGGAAACCTCAGATAATTAATCACTTGTTCCTTGTTGTCAGTGTGCAAGTTACTGTAGTCTTTTGGGAAGACTTTCAAGATCCCTGGATTGCTTTTATCAAATGGCTGTTGCACGGCACAATATCGGCACCTGGGTATGTCACTGGAGAAGCCGTGGGCAAGGAAGCAAACTTTTCCAAGAAATCTACAAAGTTGTGTTAACCAGCTATAAACCTGTGTTAAGGCAAACTCTTTAATCTATCAGAATTACTTATCCACCAATGTAAAGAATTTTTGTCAGCCTTCTTCTGTCAGATGTGATGATGTGAGGACCGACAATGAGAAAAATAACATTATTTTGAGAGGCACATTGACAAATTTTTGAATATTTACACCTGTCAGTGGCTTCTCAACTTGCTTTCCTTTTCTCTATTCCATACCTTGGGGGAACCTCCAAATTTTAAATAGTGCCCTAATGCTACAAATAAAATACCCACTGTTGCTTAATAAACTAGC